TGATACGATGACGTTGTACATTGTGAAATTGGCTTTGGTGATGCGAAGTGTTGCGCTTGCGTCGTCTGATCCTGATGTATTGGCGGATAAGCCGTATTGGATGGTTACGGTGTTGGATTTGTAGGATTTTGTGTTTTTTGTGTAGCCGAAGATCTTGTTTTGCCGTTAGTATCGTAGTATCACAAGAAGCTACAAAGATAAATGGTGTACCGTGAGCGGACCAGGTCGGGTTATAACAACTTGCTCCGCGTACGTTCCAGGATATATGAAGATAGTTGTCGGGGAATTATCATTCGGGAGAGATTTCACAGCGCCAGAGACGGTCTGGAACTCTCCTGAAGTTGTTGTACCCGCCCGAACGATCACCGACCCAGCAGACGGCCGAATACGCGAGGCTGCTGAGACGTGCGGGAAGAGGTACGCAGTGGCGAGGATGAGATTTAGAGCTAGGGTGAGCTTGAGCATCTTGAGGAAATATAGTGGGGCCCCGTTGAATTTTTACATGCTTTTTAAATGGGCACGTCTGCGCAAATAGGATTGTGATGGTTGAGGGGGCCGCCTATTGATCGGAGCAATCCATAACTATGCAATTGCTATGGAAATATGGTTGAAAAAAATGAAGAATGTGGACGGATAGAGTTCGAAATTCGGGCGCACTTGCTAAATTTCGGAGTAACGCTACACGCGTAACAACCAAGGGAATTGTTTTTGGATATGTTCCGTTGCGTGCCACCGAGGACGACTGCACAGGCATGGAAAAAAGCTACAACGCATAGATAAATTAGAGGTGCTCATCGGTCGCAAAATATAAGTGGAGAATGTCGGGAAAACCAAATGTGCCTTACAGGGCTATAAAGACTTGAATGAACCGCTTGGCCTAAAAGGCAATAAGAGGACAGTTTCGCCGAGATCAAGCCGAGATAAGACGTTTTGCCCTATAAGCTTGTAAGTAGGGCACCAATCGATGCTTGATAAGTACCTGAGGCCTGAACTCTTTTCCAACATAGTTCATTCCAACTCATCCAAGGACCACTTCCTCGCCAGCCTCTCCTTTTATCACTACACTTTCGTTCTTCTGAACCCATTAGTACTATCCTTCACGTCAACTATGATGCTCGCCTTTGCTCCCGACCTCGCGCTCGCCGCCTTCTGCAGTCTCCTTGCCGTCACCATCTTGCCCGCGGGGTCCTGAGAAAAACTTGCCAGTTCCGGTGTTACAGTCGTAGCAACCAATCCTTGTCTTCCGCATTATTGAGAGGGGGTGTTTATGCAAGTCTAGGTGATGATGGTGGAAGAAAGCTGGATGTTACTATGTAGCTCAATAGGGTTAGGGTTAGATGTCCCCTTCTTCAATTTGTTTGATCGAGCTACCGTCCAGCCAACGTCCAGCCCTAAGGCTAAGTCCGTACGCCACTGTACAGTTCACTGACAAAAAACCTGAAGTACTACCTACGTCTCGTCTAGCCGAACTCCCTTCCGAAGTCGAGGAACATGTGACTGCTTCTCTTCTGAAACTTGCTTTTTTCATTTCCCGTCGCTCCATGACATGCTCGCGATCGATAAGGGCTCCTGTCACCAATCTCTTCTCGGCCTCACTTGCGCTCGTCCAGCTGCAGAGCGTGACGAATACTGAGCTTGAGCTTGAAGTGTCGTTGGTACGGTTTAGCGAGGGACCTAGGGACCCTCGACGCGTCTCTCTGTTGGACTTCAGGGGCATGACGTTATTGATGAATATGCTTCTTGGTGAGTATCAACGTTGAGATCCTCCTCGTCGATTACTGACATTTTCCATTGCTATCACTGCTGTCGTTAGCGCTTCAACATCTAAGTTCTTCACATAGGTTTGGCATCACCCCTGCAGTTCCGACAATTGTACCTTTTTCCGATTTCACCTCCTCTCGGTCTCTCGTGATGTTCAACTCGCATATCCTATACCCTGGACCCCACAAAGGTCTTGAATCATGCATCCTATCTTCACTGGGCTTCACACCCGCCCCTGCCCTGGGACGCCACGCTCTCTTCGTTGTCGATCCCATATCTTTCTGGAGTTGCAAAAAGTAATCTGTAGATTTGCTAATGGTCCGTCCCATCGGGCAACATAACTTCATGGGGACCCGACTCGCATAGCGCTATTATGGTTTGCGTGTTAAGGGAACGTTGGCCGCGGTTGTAGGTGCTTTGCCGGCTGAGGGTTATCGAAATTTGACACAGAATGGCATGTACATTTGAGTGTATCGTGGTGAAAAAGCCTTGGCTAACAATCTTTCATGTGCCATTCAAGATGAGAGAAAGGAACTCTTTCGAGCTGCTCTCTTACGCTATAGAGATCCTCGATTTGAGACAGCTTTGACATCGCTCCCCGACATCTACAGGACCTGTTTCGGGGCCCGATCTCATTATTTTCAAACGTCAA